TTTAGTTTTACAATATTATTTCACAAAGCAAATGATTATACCTTTGTTTCAATAGAATAGTATAAATTACTAAAGCTGAAGAAAAAATTGAGGTGAGGAATAATAAATAGAGTAATTACTTGGTGTATCCTAATTAATTAGCTACCTATTATGCCTATATAATTTTACTGATTCGTAGGATCATCAAAACAGCATAATAATGGAAGGAAACGAGGGCTCTGTACAAGCAGAAAGAATAAGAACCAGTTTGCTCCAGAGACTCCTCTGCCGTGTGTGTGATTTAATGGCTCCACCAGCCTGTCTTCACCTTTATTTCACAAGCCTTTTGCTCTCTTTTTTGGGCTCAACACCAGGGCGGCAATTCATAATAGTGAGCAGGAAAAAGTGCCGCCCAATTTGTTGAATGGTGGCAGCCTAACTGGTTCTTGTGTGGAACAAGAACCGGTTTGCGGCTAGGTTTTTTTTTTTTAATAATAATAATAATAATTTGGCACAACTTGCACATTATTCTCTAAGTTTATAGATAAGATATCCAAAAGGGTAAATCATGTATTTCAACTACTTAATTATACTTCAACTTCATGCAGTATTCTAATTTATTTATTTTTTGCAAGTTTTCATATCTTTTCCTTCTATAACTTATAAACTAGTATTAATTAAGTTATTTTATAGATTAAGAAATATATTAAATATTATTATAAATTTTTTTTGAATTTAATTATTTTAATTAGATTAATATGAATGATCGACCATGAATATATTATTATTGTAGGGATAATTATATCTGCTCAGATTTTATTATGGATGTATAAAGATTTATTAATTTTATATTTTTAATTGATGAAAATGTATCCGAAGATAAAATTAGATATTTTTATATTAGATTCAAAAATCAAAAGTTTCTAATGAAAAAAATGTTTATAAACATCTATTTTCAAGAGGATTTTTACCTTATTATAAAAATTAAATTGTCCATGGAGAGGTAAAATAACACGAACCTGTTCTTTCATAGTGATTGCCGTTTATGGTGTCCTTTATTCTGAGCAAGCATTTAATGTACAGTTTCCGCGTTGTTTGTAGAGTTTCTGAATCATCTAAGCTGAGATAAAGAGAAAGGTGTGTCCCTGGTGCATTTGAATCTCCCTCAGAATAAAGCTGCAGCTTCCTGATGAATTGCGCGCAGCATCAAATTAAAGAAACAAGCAAAGCAATCTAAGCATAAGAATAGTACTTTAGCAACACAGAAATTTACAAACACCATTTTCTTCCTTCAACAGTAGATCCCTCAGATAAGTGGTTCTATTTATTCGGAGCCGAAAAGTTATTAATCTTCCAAGTTTATAGACCATTTGCAGGTTCTTTGACGAATGAAGGACTTTCTCCTTCACCAGGCCAATTAACACCAAAGACCTCCACTCCCAAATATGCTACGATCATCGACCAGGAAGCCATTCGAAGAGTCACGCAAATTGTCGTGACGAAGAAGCTCGATGAAACCCCATTCCATCTTCATCTTGTGAAAGCGCCAGTCTATCCGATCATCATCTGAATACAAACATTTATTACGTAAATTGGAATTGAAAAACATATACAGTCACTCACTTGATCGTAGTCTAATACCTTGAACAACCAAATATCTGTCGCGAATTCCATCGAACAAAAAGAACTGGCAACAACATTAACCTCCCAGTCAAGAGAAACATCATCCGGGTCTGTCATTGCCAAGAATAATGGTACGTGACTGTTTCCATCTTCCTTCTTCTTCCCATTTGGGTTGAGGATCATTCTCCTAAAAAACGATAAATTTGATTACACAAACAAAAGTAAATTGACATGGAACATCAGTTATGATTTATTGTAACAAACCATTTGTAGCCACCAGCTTCAAAATCTTTGGTTTCATACCTTTCCACCTTTAGTCTCTAAAAGTGAAGAGAATGACTCAATCTCAAAGGTATAGGGTGCTGGTCGAGTCTTTCTACATCTTTGCTTTCCTGTAATTCACGGCACTTAAATTACATAGGAAAGCATTTCTTTTCAGACTAAATTAAATATATAAAAAAGATCGCTTATTTATGTGGTGTGATGTCTTGCTGTGCTTGTTCTTCCTTTGCCATATTTAGTTAATCAATATAAATTATCAAAAATAGTAAAATCCTTTTTCTTTGTGAGAAGTTTTCTAAAATCTAGACGGTAGATTTGGTCCTTGATGTTTTAAGAGGTTTGCTGTACATTTATTGGAATGTGAATAAAAGATACAAGTGATGAATTTATGTTCGGTGTTAAAGTCAACTCATGAATGAGAATATAAATATAAATTTTTAATTTTGCCCTTGTTTGGTCTCAAATTTCTAAAAAAAATCACAATAACATAAACAACAATTCAAAACAAATGGGAACATCCATAATCAATCAATCTAATAAAAAAAATATCAAGGAAAATGTTTGATTGCTCACTACGAAAATCAATAAAAAAGACTAGGGAATTAGTTATTAGCTATAATAAAATTTATTAACATTAACATTAACATCAATTAACAAAATAATAAAGTGCATGACTAAATTACTTTAGTTACACCCATCAAATAATATTTATTGAAATGGTATTTTTTTTATAATTTAACCTTTCAACAACATCAATTTTTTCTTCTTTTTTTTTAATCCATCTTTTAATATTACAAATACTATTTATTGAAATAATATTTTATGTTTTTTTTTTTAATTTAACCCTTGAACAACCTTTTTTTTAATTTATCATTTAATATGAGGTTGTTTTGGGAATTATATTTTATTTTTTTTCTTTTTATGGGGTTATATACTAGTCTTATAGATTTAGTTTTTTTACTTGATTTTAACATTCAACATTAGATCTATTGAAAATGGGATATTATAATTTTTTTGATTTGTTTTTTATAAATTTATCTCGATCTCATGATCCACGTTAAAGTTTTAATAAATTAACTCAAATTAATTTATGGTGTCTTTTTGGATTGCCTTTAATAAAAAAAAATCAATTTTATTATTTAATATTGAGTTAGTTAGAAATTAGACTTTATAAATTTTTTATATATTTTCTATAGAGTTATCATAATTTCATGATATAAGCCATTGGTTTGGAAAGTTAATTTAGGGTTAATGCAATTTATTTTTTTGCTTTTTTTAATCGAGTTTCATAGTTATTTTTTATTTAGTTTTCATAGAGGTATCTCGGTCTCATGATCTAAGTCGTGAGTTTGTCAAGTTGACTTTAATGACTCAATTATTTATTTTATTCTTTTTTTAATATAATTTTTTATTTACCCTTAAATATTTAGCAACACTTGAATATTTTTTATATTAAAAAAATTAATATGACTACAGCGTAACGTGAACAACTAATGTAGTTTTTTAACTATTTAGATGCAAGATATACATATTAGAAATACTCTAAGTTAATGGCAAGATTTAACAATATTAAATTGTACCAGACTGGGAATCATGTTATGCCATGGTCCGATAGTGTTTTGAAAGAAACAAGAAAAATTCAATACTCTGGTCATTTACTTGATTATATCTAATAAGATCGGTTAATTTAATAATTTTGATTTAAATCAAAGGTAAAAATAGAAAATAAATTATAAAAAGCACTTTACAATAATAAACAAAAAAAATATGTCATCAATATCATACTTGTAAAAAAAAGAAAAAAAAGATAGTTAGAGGTTCACCATCACTCAACTGTGAACATCGTCTACAACCAAAAGAGTTTATTGAGTTAGTTCAAACTCTATTATGAGAAAGGATGCAAAACGACATCAAAAGAAGCTGCTGGTTCGCTAGAGCAATGCCTTGTAAAAGCAAATTGAAAAAAACACAATAAAATTAGTACCCATCTATATTCAATCAATCAATTCTATTTAATTAAATAAAAAAATTTTAAAAATATATTTAACAAAGAACGAAACATAAAAAAACATTAAATAATCCAATTAAATAAAAAAACAAATAATATAGAAAGCATATAAAAAAACACAGAGCTTAAAGTAAATATTTGTCTTGTAAATTTAAAAATGTCAAAATGTTCCCACTAAAAAGGCAACCATGTCTTTAATCTCTAGCCAAAAGAATTTTTTAAAAGGGTAAAGTCCCATCCATAGAAAAACAACAAATTCATCACCCTTTTAGTTTATTTAAAAAATATATAAATGTGACATAATGAACCTCAATTTTAATTATGTATTTTTTATAAAGATAAAAATATCCCTTTACCCCTTTATGTTTATGGTAATTAGTCGTTTTACTTTAAATGTTTTAAACTTGGTTGTTATATACAAAAATCAAACAAAATATTGGTTATTGACCCTCATTTAATTAGAAAGGAATTAGGGTGTGTGTATACATGTATTAAAAAATGGTCGATTTATTAAAAATCATTTCTTAGATTTTTTTTTAAAACAAAAAAACAAAGTTAATTCTTGTATTTCTATCAAGTAAATGCGGCCCCCTAACAAGGGAAATTATTGAACCAATATTTTGTGGGTGTCAATTGACCAAATCTAAAACACAAAGGGTAAAACAGCAATTTGCTACAAAATGATGCCTTTGCCGTTCATAAAAGAAGCTTTTTTTATGGTGGACTCAAACTACATGCCATCTAACTTCAATAGCATCGTCACCAAACGACTAGTCTTCGGCTCTCCACCCTCACTTTTAGTGGATCCCTACCAACCAGTCAAGGCCTTTCCAGCCACTCGAACCCCAAGTTCTAGCCATACCTTGCAATTTGCTACTCCATAAAATCCAGTCCAGCCAAAAAAATTTAATTCGAGCATTCCTAATTAATTAGTCAAATCCTTTCAAATCAATTTCTAATCATTTTATTTTCACTGAACCAACTAGGTTCGATAACAATATTTTTTTTAAAAAAGGCATGTAGTTCGGGCTTCTTCTTTGGAATATTTAAAACAAAAAAACCCTTCGATGATAAAGTACCTCATGGAAAAGGCAGGATTGGTGCAGAGTAGTAGAAAGCAACAGGCTTGATCATTTATCAATTTACTATCTTCTCAAACTAAGTCCGTTGGATCGTAGATAAAACCATAGATACATACATCTTCACCAGAACTGACAAAACCCACCACTCCATAAGCCTTCCACCCATGTCGGGAGAGCAAAACAAGAAAGAAAAAGAAAAGAATGGTCTCATCTATTTATCATCTTATCTTCTTGCTAGTACATTTAAGTCTCAAATTGCTTGCCTTCAAAGGCCTGTCCAAATCTCCAATCTTTGGGAGCAACATTGTAAGATATTACAGTCATCCTATCACTACTAGTGACCTCAAATGAGAGAGCTTGATTCTGTAAATTAGCATTAACATGCCAGTTCTGGCCCCAATTCCTGCCCATATCAAGCCAGCCTGTTCTTGAACCTTTAATCTTCACTGCAGTGACATCTCCAGCACCTGCAACATTGCTGATCAGCACCGAAAGGAAAATACCGGACCCAGAGATAGTAAACCGAATCCCTCCTTCCTTTCTGCATTTAATCCTGTTCAAACATGATCACAGTCGAGGATAAGCAAAAAAAAAAAAAACATTTGAAAACAGTAACAGCAAACTTCAAGAACCTGCATTTTAAATTTCAGATGAAATATGACATGCAATATACCCAATGGCATCATAAAAAGAAGGGAAAGTTTAATTATTTCTGGAGTAATTCGGGCATATTTGTAGTTATGTATACTCGAATTACTCCAGAAATAAGTAGACTTTCCCTTCTTTTTATGATGCCATTGGGTATATTGCATTTCATATTTCATCTACAATGTTCTTGTTTTTGCTCTAGCAGTCAAAATAACAGAAATACTTTCAAAGCAAATGCCAGCTAACGATACGAAGAGATATTTAGCAAATGAACTGTCACTATCATATACTAGTGATTAGTGGAAATTTTACTTCTTTTGATGCTGGATAGGGACTAGAAAGTGGGCTGTCTCCCACCATGCATTATTTATATTTTCCATCGAGCCATGAACCAAAAGAGTAGGGTAAAAACCCCTTTGAATTTTCAAAGCCAAAACAGTGTTCTCATGACAACAGCCTCACAAATACTCCCATGATATAAATTAGCAAGAGACTGGGTGCACATTAGCACTGACCCGGACACACAAAGCAATAAATTTAGATTGCCCCATCCCTGATCTCCTTGCCAAGTTGCTAAAATTACACCAAGCACTTAATTTTTTTTTCACAAGACACCTTCCTGTTTCTAACAATCAATAACTCATAAAGTTTAATCTTTCAAAGGCAGCTACAAAAAGCATAAAGCAGGGTGTCCATAATTTAGAAAAGTGGAGCTTGGTAAAATAACCCAGAATGGTCAGTCTAATAGATCCTGTAAGGAACTGAGGCTGAAAGAAACAAAATTTGAAAGAAGAAATAGACTAACAAAGACAAACAATCACTGACATGGAAGTGCTAAATTTAGCCGGTGACTCTCTTCTCTTCAATTGGTAAATTTCAGGATCAGTGCATGTTAGCAAGAATGATTCGAGTAACAGAAGACAAATTCATTGAAAATTAAAGAACCAGACACTCATATTTCAAATCTTGACAGAAGGAGATCACATCTTCTCTTGCATAACTCGGATTTAAAGAGCTAAATATGTGCCTAACTTACAAACTTAGCTGCAAAAACAACAAAATCCAAAAGGGCTTTCAGATTTTTACCTTCTATACTGAACAGGCATATTAGCAGCCCTCCAAATGGCAATCTTTTCAAAAGCTTCAATAGGCAGCACAAAATGCTTATTAGGAGGATTACATTTTCCACCACCATCAGAAGTGAAGCCATAATTTGGAGCGCAAAAATTAGTGACAGAAACAATAATAGAAGTCCCAGGAATACACCACCTCAAATCATCAACACATTTAAGTTCAAAACACGCGCCACAGATCTGTCCACGTTCAAACATTGATTCACTCAATCCCACGGTTGCCATTCCATATCCTGCTTTAACTAAGTCCCCATATCCACACCCACCTCCTACTGTGTCCCGGGGATCGGATGCTGCGTAGTAAGTAGCGCGTGCGGATTGCCATTGGGATAGGGTGGTGGAGAGAGGTGGTGGTGTGGCGGTGGAAGAAGTGAGGGAGGTGGTGGTGGTGGGGAAGATGAGGAGGAGGAGGAGGAGGGGTTTTAGGAGAGTGTGAATGGGGTTTTGGAGTACTGGAGGTGGCATTTCGTTGTCTTAGATTAAAGGGAAGGATTTATCTTGATGATGAAGTTAAGGTTGTCTTTGTTTATTTTTATAACAGGAGTGGACGGGAAACTAAAGATTGCTTTACTGCTGCTGCTTTTCCTGTGCTGATGAGCAGTGTTGCTTCAGCTTCAGCTTTCTGCCACCGTTCTTTTGTTTTCGCTGTTTGAAAATATTTTTGTCTTTTGTTTTCGCTGTTTGAAAATATTTTAAAAAAAAATTATTTTGTTTTATTTTAAATTAATTTTTGATTTTTTAAATTATTTTAATAGAATAATATTAAAAATAAAATAAAAATTATTTTTATGTATTTTTTTAAAAAAAATATTTTAGAAAATAATTACTATCATAATTTAAAATAAACATAATCTACCAATATAGACTTCTTCTATAATGAATTTTAAATTAAATTAATAAAAAATTAATTGAATTAAACTTCATCAACCAAATAAAACAAATCAAATTTAAAACTTGATCTAATCTTTTTTAAATAAAATAATATTTTTTAATTTAAAAAAATTAAAACAACATTATTTTTTATTAAATTATATTTACCTGGTATTTATAGAGTCACGTATGTAGCTTTAATAACTTTGATGATAATAATAAAAAAAACAAAATTGTTCCCGACAAGGTCTATGTTCTATTTGTAAACTCTTTGATTTGAATAAGATAATATAAATGATCCATTACATCTAAATTCAACTGTTTAACCTCATAGTAATTCTATATGTATTAGCTAAATTATATCTCTAAATTAAATACTTTATCAATTGAATTTCTAGGGCATTTAGACATTCATCAATCAAGTCTTTGGGGTTTTTTTTTTTTTTTTTTTTTTGGCTTTAACCTTAGAGGATGGTTTACTTGGATTCTTGGTTGTCTGGCTGAGGGACTATTTTGGCAATAAGTTGAGCATAAATGTGGCTAAAAGGCAAAAACCTTTGATGGTTTGGTGGTGGAGGAACGAGTGACATATTGCTGCTGTCTTGCTGATTATAAATTATCATAAATACTGTGGGCCTAATCTTCGCATTACCTTCATTGGCATAAAATGGCAATGTATTCATTAGTGTATTCATTAGTTTGAGAGGTTCATAATTGGAACTTAGATTAGAAGATACAGCACATGATGCAACCCCATCATTTCCTTTTATAGGAGTAAAGTGAAATGTAGAAATTAGGACAAATTTATATTTATTAAACCCAGATTAGCCCAACATATTAACATGTAGAATTCATAACTAAAAATCCGATATAAACCAGATTTCAAATTAAATTAAAAAAAACATTAACTTGGTGAATTGAAAAAAAAATAGCATGATCAGGTTTTTAGTAAATCATAAATAGATTAACATGATGAAATCCTTTCAAACTTGATTAACCTGATGAAATCTTTTCAAACTTAACCTGATCTAGAATTTCAATAAAAATAATTTATCCATTGTTTCAATAAAAATAATTCATCTAGGTTGATCCAATAACCGGTAAGTTGAGTCAATAACTCACTGACCCAAATCTTTTTTTAGTCAATCCCCAAACCCTCGTATGACAACCATGACAAAAATATGGCTTACCCTTTATCTCAAGCCAACTGAAACATTGATGTATTAATATGGTATGGTTGAAATTATATCAAACGAAATGGAGAACATGAATGATAAATTAATACAGCGATAAGAAAAGAAAAGGATATTAAAATTAAAAAGAAAGGAAAGGGAAAGAAAAGAAAAGGGTATATTTCCTTTGTAATTTTTCTATCCGCTTCTGTTGAGTATTGACAACAGAGGAAAAAGGTTAAAAAAAAAAAATCAATTTTCCATTTCCTTCTTGATTTTCTTTTTTTCCTGAAGAGACCAAACTACACTATCTCCAGCCACCATTACCACCCACCTCCTCTTCCTCCCTCTTCTCTCACTGAAAAAGATTCATAAATACAAATTCATTTTTTTTTAATTTAAAAATATAATTAAACCAACTTAACCGAGTTCTGGTGAACAAAGGGTCAAGGATGACTGTTGAAAGCAAAAAATAAAATAATGAAGGAACAAAACTCAGAAGGAGATGCAAATTCATCAAGACATAATCAAAACCAAAATAAGCACAAAAGAGTACATGTTTGAAAACTAAACGAATTAACAGGACACATTGAAATCATCAGACAATAGTTTCCAAACAGGCAAATTTAAGACCCATGCTCCGCAAATTTTAAGTACAGAAACTAATGCATGTTCGACACAATTGCAAGCAAGCAGTAGACTTTCATTTGATATGGGTTGATGCAAAATGATGAATTTTTTCTGTGTCCGTTAGCTTCTTGCATAGAACCTTCATATAATTCAGTTTCAAGCTAATAACTACATCTTGACAAAAAAAAAAATCCTTTTTCTTTGGCTTCTGGGTGAAATAAACACCTAGTGTTACTTTATGGCCTAGCATGGCTTGGTGGTTGATACTATTCTTGCATCCTGGTAATCATGATTATTTACTCCTGGAAACTGTAAGAACTCAAGCAATCTAAATGGCTAGAACATAAGCGAGAGTCCTACTTGTTAGAACATTCCTAACTGCACATGATATCGACCTAATTATATTAGGAGACATGTTCAGTCCAAGAAATGAACGCTCAAACAACAAAACAAAACTACTGCAGCAAATTTATCTCTGTGGTGAAATCTAATTAGCATTATGTCTATCAAGCTTGAAAGTGAGAAATGATCCATTTCAACAGATTATCCGTCTCTGATGAATAACAGAATAGAAAGAAAAATGGAGGTTGAACACTTGATGAGCAAAAAGAAACACAACAATATCATTAGGTAGCAACAATCCAATAAGCCACATTCACAAGTACAAAGACTAATTCACATTGCAAAATTTCACGCAACTCATGGACAATTCAAATTCATCACCCCTACAACTAATGCTGGGAATCATCTTCGTAGCATCAAATGACAGAAAAACTTAAAAGCAGTGCGAAAAAGAAATCAAACTTACACTAACCCAACTATACACACCTTCCCACTTTCTTGCATTCTTCACAGAACAAACCTCTATACACCAAAGAACGAGAAAAACCCACGTTTCTTTGGCTCTTCCTCCATCATAACAGCCTTCATACTATCCTGCTCAACAAGTCTCCAAGCAGCTTGCTCGAAAGCCAGTCCAGCCAGTGTAGGTGGCTTATTCAAAACAAGTGGATACCCTCTATTAGTACTCCTAATCACCTCTGTATCCTCCGGAATCACCCCCAACAATGCCAAGCCCAGCATTTCTTGCACATCCAACACCGACATCATATCTTCCCCTTTGATCATATCCGTCCTAACCCTATTAACAATCATCTTTATATCCCTAATTCCATCACACTCTAACAAACCTACAACCCTATCCGCATCACGCAAGCTAGTAATATCAGGAGTTGTTACCAGAACAGCCTCGTTAGCTGGAGTTATCGCCGTAATGAACCCTGCATCAATCCCAGCTGGGCAATCAATCAAAATGAAATGCGGGCACCCTTCTTGCCGCGATTTCAAAGACTCGACAAGCCAAACAAGTGCTTTCCCACCAAACCCAAGTGGCAATTTGGACCTGGGTTTAGAAATGCACAACAGTTCAAAGTTAGACCAACGCTTATCGCGGACAAGCGCTTGGTCTAACCGACAATCCCCATTCATAACCTCAACAAGAGTATAATTTACACGGTTTTCTAACCCTAACAAAAGGTCTAGATTGCGCAAACCTACGTCAGCATCAACTGTGACAACCGAGAAGCCAAGGCGGGCTAAGGAGAGGCCAACATTTGCAGTTGTTGTGGTTTTTCCGACACCACCTTTGCCTGATGTTATCACGACAACTCTTGGGGTTTCACCAGCTAGTTCGGGCTTTCTGTTCCATTGTAGGACTGATTGGATTGCGGGGTTTGGGTAAGGTTTGAAGGGTTTTGTTAGGGTTTGGGTTTTGGGTCTGAATGGGGTTAAGGAATGAAGGAACGAGGGTTTTGTGTTTGCGGGTAAGGGTTTTAGTGTCAGCATTGTTTGCTAAGTGTTTGTGTTTTTGACTGTAAGAGTTAGGTGGGTTGCTTTAAGAGCGAATGAAGAGGAAGAGCATTTTAGCTGCCAAACGAGGAGGCGTTGAGAATGATTGGCTTTCGGGAAGTTCTTGAGATTTCCTTTCCGATAGTAGCAGTTTGGCGTTAATTTACTTCTCACATCCCTATACTTTTGTATTTTTCTGAATGTGACCCTCTATTAATTGTTTTTCCTTTCCGACAGTAGCATTTTTGGGTTAATTTACTTTCACACCCCTATACTTATTTATCTTTTAAATGTGACCCTCCGTTAATTTTTTCTTAATCTAACCCTTTTTACTTAACCTTTGTTTCTTAATCAAGTCCCTTTCATCCAATTTTAGGCATTAAATGCTGGTGTGGCTTGAAAAGTGGGTCCAATTGCTCAATTTCACTCGTCGAGATAAAAAGAGTGTATTACTTGTTTACATATATCCGTATTTTTATGTTTATTTATTTCTTTTTCTCTTTTCTTCTCCGAAATACAGAGGAAAAAAAAACATAATTGTTGGCTAATACTACATTAGATGAGAGAGACCTGGCAACAAGACCCATTTTAAAGTCTATTTAGCTGTAAACATCTAAAATTGGATAGAACAACTTGATTTAATAATGAAGGCTAAGGGGGGTTAAATTACAAAAATTAGTTGGTGAGGGCCATGTGGAAAGGGAAACTTGATTTAATAATGAAGACTAAGAGGGTTAAATTATGAAAATTAATTGATGAAGGGCCATATCAAGAAGATTATAAGAGTATAAGGATGTAATTAGCTGTCATTTTCTAGACTGTTAAAAGGGACAGGTTGTTAGAAAATGAGGTGGGATTTTTGGTTCACGAGGTGGTAGATCTAAGCATGAGGCTTAGGCCCAATTTTATTTTGGGTCTATAGATCTAAGCTTGGAGGTAGACTTTAACTTGAGAGCAAAAATAGTGTCAACTTGTGTTTGTGTAGCCAAGCGTGCATGGCATGCATTGTTCCCTGCATAATGCTTGGAAGGTGAGCCATATAATGGTAAGACCTTGAAT